CCTGACAGAGCTTGAGAGGTGAAGAATGGCAGATAATTGCAAAATGCTGATGAGCAAAGCTTGTCGCATCAAACAAAAAAAGACTTGAGGCTATTAAGGTGCTTCAGCTAAATACCCTCATTAAACCCTCATTTAGGTATGAAGTTGTGAGTTTTTGCTTTTTGCTTTGTCAGTATGGATTCATTGTATGGAGTGTAGATTGATGTGGAAAAAAAGTAAAAGTTTATCACCCATTGGTGTCTGTGCATTTAAACCCTGTGTTTCCCAGTGTTTCCCGTCTGCTGTTAAATGTCATTCTTTCTACTTGATGTCTCCAGTGTTCCCTGTGTTACGAGCGTTACCCTCATTAAACCCTTTTGATTTGTATTACTTCTGGTCTCCTCGCTCCTTCGTTCATTCCTCCCCGAGTGGCCATGACAGAACAGCAGACCTTGACAGTAAGCGGCGCCCCTTCTAGCTGTGGTTGTTTTTCATTTTTTGAAAAGGGTTTTGTTTTTTCCCCCGTTCGTTTCTCCCCACCCAAATGGAGGAACGGGCGATGTTCATCGCCGTGGCTCAAGCGAACCCCGACCAGGGAAACCCTCGTGACGCTGTTCCGGCTCGGGATGACTTACCATCGCCCCGCGGAGCTCCCAGACACCACCAATCTCGACTGGAAGGAGGCAGTCATCCGGTGTCTGGAGAGCCTCCGATCCCGATCCGGAACCCCGCCGCCGGCCGTTCTTCAGTCAAGCCCGCAGGCCGCGGCTTTCTCCAGCCCGCTGGCCGTTCCGAAGTCTAGCGCGCCTGCCGCACCGAAGTCAAGCCCGACGGCCGCGGCTCTTTCCTGCACGCCGGCCGTTTCTGTGGCAAGCCCGCTGGCCAATCCAAAGTCAAGCCCGTCGGTCGTGGCTCACTCCCGCCCAGAGTCACGTGTATGTTCCTGTTTTTCTTATTTGGTCTATCCTGTTCCTGTCCTCGTTGTGTGAATGCGTTTCCAGCTGTGTTTAATTAATTAGTTCATTTGCTCCCAGGTGTGTGCCATTGGTGTCTGTGCATTTAAACCCTGTGTTTCCCAGTGTTTCCCGTCTGCTGTTAAATGTCATTCTTTCTACTTGATGTCTCCAGTGTTCCCTGTGTTACGAGCGTTACCCTCATTAAACCCTTTTGATTTGTATTACTCCTGGTCTCCTCGCTCCTTCGTTCATTCCTCCCCGAGCGGCTGTGACTATATGTATATATATATATATATTATATATTAGTTCTTTTTGCATGAACCACATTCAGTTGTTGTGAAAGAGGTGATAAACCTGTATATATGTACACTATAACAGTGACAGGGTAATTAACTCCACATAAACATACAGTATTGGTCATCTATAAGTATGACCCTAAATTATTATTATGTTTTTATTATTAATAGATATAAATCCTTCTTCTAAAATATATTAATGAAATATTTTCTTTATTTCATTTTATATAATTGATAAATAAAATATATTCAATATACAGTTGAATGCCCAGTAAGCAATATTTATGATCATTATATCATAAAAAATAAATAATATAATTGTATCATTTTATATCATAAATCATAATATCATTTTATTATATACAATCATATTATTGTAATACAAGTATATTTTATAAACTATTAATCACTTGCCATTGGCAGTTGTGGTAGAAGTAAATTTTGGACCCTGGTTACTGTGATTGCACCAAAGTTAAGGTGGTCAGGCTATGCTTGTTTTTTACTATGGTAAAATCAATGTGATGCATGACTTGTGGTTTATTGCTTAATTTACATTCTTTGATGCAGGAATTTGCAGGAAGTTACTTATCCATCAACAGGGCAAGCAGCAGATACTGTACAAGAGGACGTGGCCCAAAATAGAGTTATACCGTCGCAGGAGAAATCAGGCATGGCTACATCTTGTATGGGGATCTCCTTCAGGAAGGCAGGTTTCTGGCAGCGTGGGTTGCCACTAACCACCCTGGTCTTCTTAAGCCACAGTCCCAGCCAGGCTAAGTGACAGTCACACACGTAGGGATTAGACAGCAGGTTACTGTACACAAACAGAAAGGAAACACAAACCCCATTACTATATAATTACAATGGAAAGCAATCAGCAGGGTTAAATTACCACATAAACGATTCAACTTCAGCCCATTTAACCCAGCAGGAGAACTGAATTTGCATTTAAATAGCAATACAATTACATATTATGGCTGTGATGTGGCCTGCAATGCTGACAATATTTGATAGCAACTTTTGCTATGTTATTACATTGTTATAAAACTGTTATAACAGCTACTACAAGTAAACTGCTTTTAACACTAATATGAGGGCTCACGAATAAGACACAGACACATTTTCATCAAGTTTGGGTACACAATGATCCATCAACCAATAGCTACAGGGACCACTGGACTAGAGGCTTCAGAATTAACTTATTGGCCCATTTTTCATGCATCCTCGCTGAGTTCTGAAAGTTCAGGTGGTGGCACACAGACCTAAATCATAAAATTGTTGCCTTGAGTTGAAAGCATCACCAGCAATGACTCTAGAAGGTCCACTAGGGAGCCGGCTGACGGCCCACTCAGACGCCCATCTAATTGATGCATTGCTGAAACACACGGGCAGGAGCAGCAGCAGCAGCGCTAGTACAGGCACAGAGGAACTCTTTCATACAGTGGGAACTAGAGTAGCTGAGAGTGACTGCTATACACTACAGCCTGCGGGATAAATTAATCAAGTGTGCTGACCTTCCGCTGCTTTGCCAATAGATGCTTCACAGCTTAAGGGGATGGGCTCATGTTAACACACCCTATATCAATGTGTTTGCCTTGAATTATTCCTACATCACTTTCTGTACTCGCTTCAAATGGCAAAGAAACACAAGAGAACAAGTGAGGCAGACGTTTGCTTTGGGAATGACATCACAAACTAGACATGAGAGAATATTTATGCTGCTAAATTTAACAAATGAAAAATAACTGACAAAACACATGGTTATTTTTTACTGTGATAATCACAAGTGAGAGCATTCAAAATAACCTCTGTCCTGACTGCTCACTCCAAACTCTCCTACCGGAAACACACTCCCGCTCCGCTCTAATTTCAGCAGAGGTGGCGGGATGAATGATGGAGTGAGAGAGAAACAGGAGGGAAGTGTGCCCAACATGCCTGCTGCACTACTGTGGGAAGAGAATAGCTGGGGAGGCCTTGCTCTCTCTCTCTCTCTCTCTCTCTTTTGCTCTCTGTCTCTCTCTCTTTGGATATTTTTAGCTGCCCTGTGCTGAAATGGACATGGTTGTGTCAGCCACTAGGTAATTAGAGAGCTGGGGCAAAAAAAAATAAAAAAAAATAAATAAATAAAGTGAAAATAGAGTCTGAAAGAAATAGCATGCACAACAGATCAATTGAGAAAAGTTGGCTTATGGCATAAGGAGGAAGAAAGAATTCAACATGTTTTGCAGTTTCCATACATAATACATGGAATACATGTGTATTAATGTTCATTTAGTTGAAAAGAAGTATACGTTACATTCTACATGGAGGTCTAAAAAAAAAAAAAAAAAACTTAGTTCAATCCATGACCCAGTAGCAAGTGCCTTTAATTATTATACACAAATGATTAAATATAATATATAGAATAAAAAGAATAGAATATTTAAAAAACAATTACATTTGTATTAATTAAAATTACATTTATAATTTTTATTAATTTAATAATAGAAAATAGAAGATAGAAGATAATATTTAAGAATATTATATTGTATTTTAGAATACAATATTTAAAAATAAAAAATACAATTAATAAAATTTAAATATGTATGTTTTTATCAAGTATGGAAGAACAAGACAAAACATGACAACATAAAAAAAGCAAAGCAAAACAAAGTAAACACAAAAAACAAAGTAAAAAACATAAACTATGCTATAGTGTAAGCTAGAAAAAAGGTTGTCAAGGAAGTTTATGCCCTGTTCATGCCTTGATAAAAAAGGAAAATATATGTTACTGATTAGATGACTTCATTGTGTAAATTCTTCCTGTTGTTTATGCATGCTAAACTTGATTAAATGGTCAGAAAGGAATGAATGACACCCCATGCAAATCAGAACAATCTGAGAGTCTCTCTGCTCAGAATCTGCTCACACATTTCGGTTAGTAGGGAGGGTTCACTGAATGAAAAAGAGAACCATGTGTATTGCTGCATGTTGAGATGTGTGCCAGGAATACAGCCTGATATGATAATTCAAATGGTTACAGATGCTCGCTGTGTTGGCAGTCATCATTTCCATTTTTTTTCTAAATTATGATTCCACCAGAAGTTATTTTGAATGCTTAACAGCATCTGTTTATCTATGAACATCTGTGAGATCTCTTTCAGCTTTCTCTGTTGATCTTTCTCTTTCTTGTCATTCCCTCAGGGCTGTGACACACTAGAGTTCATTTTTTGTTGATCAGTTCTTTGTTTACCTCCCCCGCAAAAAGCAATGCAGATATTAATCTGTATTAAAAAATGCACCACTCTCCATTTTCTCCAGCTGTTTCCAGCTTCTTTACAGCATACAATCAAAAACAAAAATGAAATGGCAGAAGAATTAATTCAGTCCATTTGCCTTTGTATGGACATCATCATCGCACACGATCTTTAGTCCATTTTTAGACAGCAGAGCAATTTTCCTTTTTAGCCATTTTTGAATAATTCACCCTGCCCCACAGGGCAAGCCAACATTTTCTCATCTGAGGTTCAAGAACAACTGAGACAAGAAAACATAACCTCATAATTTTGAAAAACATCTGCAAACAATAAGAATTCTTTGCTCGAACCACATCCTCATGCGCTTTGCATATGAAGATATAATAGGCGCTTGATTGGTGGTGGTGCGTGACCCGATAGACTGTGTTTGACTTCCTGCGTCTTTGTGAATTTTTCAACTAACTCATTTGTGGGTTTGGTACGGATACAGCAACTTCAGTGAATAGTTTTATTAGGCAGCAGAGATAGTTGCAATTTTAAAATGCCTAATTCTTAAGTATTATTATTTTAAAAAAATGTTAGCACTAAAGAATTTCAGTCGATTGTGGATGCATAACTGATCAAGTGAACCCATGGCACAGAGGGGAATGTGTGTGTGTGTATGTGTGTGAGAGAGGGTGGAGGACTCACATGGTGGAGAGGGAATGCAGGGTGTTGAAAGCTCCCGGGGCGATAGTGGAGATCCGGTTATCGTAGAGGGAAAGCAGGCGAACGGAGCTCAGGCCGGTGAAGGTGGCGTTATCCACACAGCTGATCTGATTACTCCTCAGCATCCTGATGGGAACACAGAGGCAGGTTGGATCACATTGAGTCTGACAGACAGAAGCACGCAGCTCATGGGGAGGGAGGAACGGAGAGTTTATGAGACTCTACAGCTGCTGTAATGCATTCAGTCAATCACGGTTTTATGGTATGACTGCTAACACGTCACTTCAGAAACATTATTTTGTGGAAATGTGGCATGCACGCAGTGAGTGGGTAAACACACATGCAGGTATAAGGGAGGGAAGTCTCTGTTTCAGTCTCTGGCTTGGTGGCCTTTGAGATTGCCAGGTAAACGATGATCTTGGATCGCGGCCTGTTCTGTAACCATGTGCGCATGCTCTCGGAGATCCTGTCTGTGCAGCAGACGCAGGCCGCTGAGGCAGCTCTCCGCTTGACATGGGACAAGATGAGTTTGTGTGCGTGTGGTTGGGGAGGGCTGAGCTGCCCAAATCAATCAGGTTCTCCTAAAGGCCCTCAGCAGCACAAACGGGCTAAATGCAAACCAGAGTCTGCCATGATGAAAACCTGAAAGCAGCAAATTCGGCATTAAACTGACAAACAGGGATCTAAGACGAGCAAACTCAATTTGGACACATACTCCTGGGATTTGAAAGCCACTAAATCCAATATTGCAGGACCATGATTCCATTCATTTGCTCCTATGCACTCCTCTCTCTCCAATTAAGCTAATTAGAGCCACAGCAGACCTTAGGAAGGCTTTTTCTAACCACCAGGCTTCATATGCATTGTATTAGCATCTTTGTTTCCGATAGCGCTCCGGCATAGAGGACATCTATGCCCGTTAGTCTTGATTAGACCTGACGATCACAGTCTGGTTTCTGCTGAGAACGGGCAATTTTTCTTGAAAATTTGTTTCTAAAATAGCTTATATGAGCAATTCCTGAAGCACATTTCCAATGTCGTAACTCTAGTGTTTGTGCATTTATATTCAGAACCGTGTGAATATATGAATGTAAATGTGGCTCAGAGGCATGTCTTCATTTTAATGAGCAGGATAACAGTAGAAAAATGAGCTTAAACGTGAAACAGTGGCAATACTTACAGCGTTTTGAGGCCGCTCAAACCCTTGAACATCCGTCCGCTGACTGACTGCAGCTTGTTTCCGGTCAACAGCAGCTCCAAAACACCTCCGGCCCCATCAAACGCCCCCTCACGGATGTCCCGGAGTTTATTATTACTTAAGTTTCTGCAAACACAGAATTGAGGAAAACATTAACTCCCCTTGCACTCTGACGCAAGCTTTTCTTTTAATGTGTCTCAAATGTGATATTTATTACTCCTGACAAATGGCAGAAAGCACAGGTTGCAATGGTACACTGCAAATGTCTTTGTTTCATCACATGAATAGGTTGTGGTTGTATCCTAAACACACATTTATGAAGATTCACAGCTTAATTTTAAACCGTGCTTCAGTAAAATGTAAGGTTGGGCTTTTAGATCTGCCCAATTTATAACTGTGCTAGATAGTAAGCAATTACATGCATGATAAATCACCGGTCCTCTTCCTGAGCGAACACCACTCTTTCCAATTTTGGAGTGGCCTGCAAATATTGCCTGACAGTAAATCACTGCATGTGTTTTCCTATTAGGTTAGAATATTCCAGAAGCTTTTCTTGTCCTGTTGTCCATAGCATTGATTGCATACAAAGCTGAATTTTTCAGATATGCCTATGTCAATCAGCAGTCAAACCCTTCAAACACAAATGAGAAATAAACCAGTTCGTACATCTTGCGCAGGTTTGGCAGCTTCTTGAAGGCCCCTGTAGCCTCTAGGACGGAGATTTCATTGTCGTTCAGCCGTCTGGTGGAGAGAGACAGAGGTTAATAGTTCAACAGTAAGTAGAGTACTCACAAGCTATAATAATAAGATAAAGTCTTACAGCAAAAAGTACTAGGAAACCTCACTGGAGCATGTAGGAGTGGGATGGAGACAAGAGAGCTAAGGGTGATGGGAAGTGATTATCATTCAGGCGCTGTCTCTGTTTCAGTCTCTTATGTGGGAGATGCTGTATAATCAGGACTGTGATGTCATCATAATGAAAAATCAGTATCGCTCTCTCTGGTATGAGCGCTGGATATGTGACTCTCATACACATTCATCTGTCCCTCAACATCAGTGATGACAACATGAAGGACATATTCTTTTTCAAATAATAACAGTGGATATGGAAGACAGGCTAATGGGCAATGCAGATAAATGGAGACATCTGGAAACAGATGATGTAGTTTGGAATGGCATACTACTTTATGCCAGGGGTTTCAAACTGGGGCTGCAAGGAGGTTGCAAAAGCAGGAGGAAACGTAAAAATAAATAAATAAAATAAAATGAATTTATTTTAAATTTAAAATAAATAAATAAATAACACTATGTACAATTTTATTATGTAAAACAATTAAACAATTAAATCAAATAAAATATGTTCTCAATTGACATTATGACTATTTCATTCTGCTTTAAACACTGGTTGAAAATCCTGAGATTAATCACAATTAGAACAATTCTAAAAGTATTGTCACATTTACCAGTGCTCTGCAAATATTCCTGGGCAAAATCCAGTAATTTCAATAAAAATGTATGCAATCAGGAATTTTGCATGAGGGTGAAAGTGCTTCATATTTTGCTACACTACTGAAAATAGACAATGAATATGAATAGACAATGAATTTACTGATATGACCGCATCTCATGGAAAACAAAATTGTATTGTAAATATTTTCATATAATATTTTGCACTTGTGTGGTAGTCCGTTATCAATTTTTTGTATTTTTGGAGCCCAGGCGTGCCGACTTTTTTCTATTTTCACACATATTTAAAATACTAATTTTTCACAGTATAATTGGGCCATTTAAAAAAAAAATTGTTTGAAAACCCCTGTTCTGTGCATGTATTACACAAGATATCATGTCTTCCAAAACTGGTGCATTCAAGTCATGTCGGAAAAATCGCATTTACAAGTTAAAGGCACATGAACAGCACCAGCCTTTTTTAATAGTAAATTTGTTAACATTAATGGAACGATTATTAATTTTTATGTACAATAAAGCTAATCTAAGTTGCATTTAAAAATACCATAGTATGGTACAATTACTATAGAGTACATAATTTGATTTACAGCACCTTCATTAATTGAATAAAAAAGCAAAACACACATAATGTGCATTCTTTATTCATCATTTAGTAGATGAATAAAAATCTTGTTGAATTTTATGCAGAAAAGATTTACTTTAAATTGCTAGTAAATTTGACAAATATTTACAAAGAAACAGCAAGTATAACATTGAATTAAATGTTAAATTTTGAAGTGGAAATAGTATAATAGTAAGACTGAAATAGTATATTTTTTAAAAATCTTTGTAATCTCTGTAATCTTTGTTTTATTTACTTTGAAAAATTATTTTTCACTTTGCATCTTGCTCCAATCAAATTGATTTGAATGCACCTGACGGCATAATTACGACTTCCCAATTTGCAAATACAAAATTCCCAGGAGGACTTGAATGCACCAAATGTGTAGATTAAAACCAGGAAATAACAAGAAACTATAACCAGGAAATGATAGCATACAGTACATACTGCACAGCAGTTAGCAGTACGCTAGTATTCCATTGAAAACACAGAGTGAGACAGGCTGATGCAGAGAAGGTCTAGACGAGGTTGAGAGAGACTTTCCAAACAGTAGAGTAAAAGTAGAGTCTAGTAAATGCACCACGGCTGTCTTTTTGCTTCCCCCAGGGCTGCCTTCCCCAGCGGGGCCTGCCATGGGAAAGCAAATCAGACATAAAGTGCTGGTTCCTGGTTGCTAGCATTCCCGCAAGAGCTCTATAAATAAGCAGCTGCGCTAGCGGGTGCAGGCTGTAGTCACTGAGCCGCAGAAAGACAGAGAGAGAGAGAAAGAGAGAGAGTGACAGATGACTCGAGTTGATGGGACTGCAGAGGGAAAACCCTGATGTCTCCTCTACTCATGAACACAAGGGCAAACGCATTGTCACCTTGACTAGCGCAGCCCAGGGAAAACACGGCTGAGTGGCTAATGGCCTGAGAGAGGCCCTGGACATTCATTCACCACAACTCAGCTGGGGACGAGACCCCGTAATCAGAGGACAGGAGAGAGGAACGAGGCCTCGGAGACAGAGGGACACCGAAAGAATTAGCGAGGTGAGATTGTAAATGGCCAATGATCTCGAGAACGAATGATGGGGTCGCTAGGTGTGTTTGTAAGCTCAAATGTGTCTTACAGGTCGGTGGTGTGCTCCGGCAGGTGAGGGGGTGTTTTGGTGAGTTTGAGGTTGGAGCAGTCCACCACTGTTCCCTCACACCGACAGCGCTCGGGACAAACCAGGTCCTGGAAACACTCGCCGCTGAGACGACTGCGGTACTCCTCTGCACCTAACAAACACAACAGACACAAACAGAGAGAGACAGACATTCAACCAGCTTATTCAACTCATCACACGCATGGTACATCTCACAAAATCTGTCAAGTACATGTCCAGGTCACCTAAAAAGCTAAAGAAATAAGAAATATATTTAATATATTAAAATATAATCTATTATTATATCATAAGAAATATATTTGCATAAAAATTATGCCTTTTTGCACTGTGACATTATTTTCAGGACAATTAAGCACTATAAATAAAATATTAAATAAATAGTAGTATTTATACATCAAGATATTTGTTGTACCGACTATATACAATTTAAAAAAAAAATAGTAATACAGTTAAAATACTAGGAATTAAGAAATAAAACCTTAAAGTAAAAAGTCTGAAATTCATTCCAGTTAAGAATTGGGGGAAATGTGCTAAATTGTCTTGATGGCTTTGTAACTGCTTTTTTAATAAAAAAATAATAATAATAATAAATAAAAATTGTGAAATATATGAACACAACTTCACTTATTTTTCTATATAAAATGTACATTTATATTTTCATGTAAATATTCATATAAAACTGTCTGTAATGCAGCTTAAATGTTAAATAATGAGAAGTACGAAAATAATCTCAAAGTAATTTCAGAAATGCATTAAAATAATCTGAAATTTTGGGGAAATGTGCAAAACTGTTTTAATGGCTTAAAGTGCCACTATTATGCCATTTCCAACATTGCCTTTCATGCAGTGTGTAATGTAGCTTATGTGAATGTACATGACCTGCAAAGTTATTGTCTCCCAAAATAAAGAATCGACTCTGTACAGCCTAAACGAGCCGGCCACGAACAACATGACCCCACCCCCAAACATGTCATTTTATTGACGACTGCTTCTATAATTATGGGGAGTTCAACGCAGGATTCACAAAACGCTTGCTGTTGAAAGATGGCTCAGTACCTGTTTATTTGGACCAGCTGACCCCACTGAATCACAACCTGTAAGTTTGATAAATAATAGATGTTTATATTTTCTATCGAGCATTCAAAATACGGAACTATTGAAATAGGTGTATCGTTTCTGACACGCGCTGAACGCGCTGTACCAATCACAACAGACTAGGCCATCTGACCAATCAGAGCAGAGCAGGCTCAGGGAAAGGAGGGGTTTAGAGAGACTGAATCTTAGAACCGCTTCGAACGAATCGTTTGACAATCGTTGGAAAATTAGGTGATATTAAATGCATATTTAGAGAAAACGAAAGCGTTTTTTGACCTTGCATGCATGTAATCCTATTGTAGGAGACTCCCAAAACAATATTAGGAACCTTAAAAATGGTATAATAGGGCTACTTTAATGACTTTGTAATCGTTATTTGTAATCGTTAAGGCTGAATCTTTTAGGGTCTTCAAATCTGCTCTTAAAACCCATTTTTTTCAGAATAGCTTTTAAGTGATTTCTCTGTGTTATATGTATGGTGTTTATTTTACTTTTATTTTATTTATTGTTATTATCATCTCTATTACTATTATTATTATTTTATCCTTTTTATCTGTGTAAAGCACTTTGAGATGTACCTTTTAAAGGCGCTATAGGAAATAAAGTTTATTATTATTATTATTGCTATAAAAGTATGTAAAATATATGAACACAACTTTACATATTTGTCTATATAAAATGTACATTTGTACTTGTCATGCACATGTTGTAATATTTATATAAAAAAGAGCTGTAATACAGTTCAAATTTAAAATAATGGGAATTAGGATCAAAGTAAAATGTCTAAAATGTATCACAGTAATGAGAAATTGGCTTTGCAATCTTTATAAAAAATACTGTATGTAAAATATACTAACACAACTTTACTTCTTTTTATATATAAGATCTGTAAATTTGTATATATCATGCAAATTTTTACATAAAAAGTCATTCTTATATTTTCTTTAGATTTTAGGGGAAAATATGACCTGGACATATTTTTCAGATTCACCCACATAATAACATTTTTTAAATAGTTAATTTTACATCTTTGTTCTTTACACCTATACACACAGACACAGGCACTTGTTTTGCGAACACAACCTCATCGTCTGCATTCTTTTTTCAAGATAGGTCAGGTATTGGAGGTCTGGCACTATGAAGTGTTTTGACAGAAAAACACAGGCGGTTTCTGTGTAGCGCGAGGCTCTGGCCGCCTGCGATAAGTCTGCTTCCCATCAGCCATCACTCGCCTGCCACTGTTTATCTTATTCCCACCATCTCCGTTCGGCTGCCCTGATGCTTCCAGGCAAACGGCCCGATGTCTACGAGAGCGACCTTAAAAAAACACCCTTTGAAACGCAGACGGAGAACAGCTAGAGCTCTTCACAAGCGATCCGTTGTTCCCGGGTTAAAGAACGGCACCTTCACTCCTCATGGTGGCAAAGACAGCTGCCACCGCGCATATCCCAGAATGCCATGCTGTGTGCGAGTGTGTCCAGCGGTCCCTGGTGCTTGACGGAACCATGTGAGGCTTGTGTAGGCGGCGGCACATGGTTAGATCAAGCACAAGAGACAGCTGCACCAGAGGCCAGAGTGGAGGAGCGGAGCGGGACGGAGAGGCGGGGAGGAGGAGGAGGAGGGAGCAGCCAGGACACAGCAGCCAGGAAGCCGCCCAGAACTCTGGGCCACCATGCACACAGGTGGGCCGGCCCCTTTCCCTCGTCCCAGCATGGACATTACCCCGCTGGGAATACAAGGCCCGAAAAGACAGACAGACAGAGAGACAGACAGACAGGGACTAGAAAGACACACACATAAAGACATCGCAGAGGAGAAAGGAGTGGAGCAAAGCCCTCTGCCACACACACACACACACACACACACACATACACACACACACACACAC